CACCACTGATTGCTCTGACAGGGATCACAATAGAGGGTTCCAGACAGAGCTGGAGAAAAATGTAGAACAAAATTCTAACTCACAAAAAAAAAAAAGACCAGTCTTACTGGCCTGACAGAGACTGGAGAAACCCCAAGAGTATGGTCCCCGGACACTATTTTATCTCAGTAATGAAGTCACTCCCAAGGTTCACCCTTCAGCCAAAGATTAGACAGGCACATAAAACAAAACAAGACTAAATGGGCACACCAGCCCAGGGGCAAGGACTAGAAGGCAGGAGGGGATAGGAAAGCTGTTAATAGGGAACCCACGGTCAAGAAGGGAGAGTGTTGACATGTCATGGGGTTGGTAACTGATGTCACAAAAAATATGTGTACTAATTGTTTAATGAGAAGCTAGTTTGTTCTGTAAACCTTCATCTAAAGTACAATTTTAAAAAAAATGGAATCGCCTTCCTTTTGGTTTTGATGACTCATATTTTAAAATGCCCATGGCCAATGACTACATGAAGTAATGTTGAGAAAGATTTGTAGCTCTTTGTGTAATCCATTTCTATTATACAAGGGAGAAGCAATGAAATGTTGGGGTTGAGAAGAGACAGACAGTTTGGGTTCTACTCTTGGCTCTGCCACTTTCCACCTGCATGACTTTGGAAAAGTTACTGGAACTCTGTAAGTCTTATCTTCATTTGTAATATGTGGTTAATAAACCTGCTTTCTAGGGTAGTTGTACGGATTAAAATGTGTTAACATTGAAAAGGCATATCAAGTCTATTTATCAGTGGCAACTATTTACTGGCTGAAAATGGGAAGCAGTAATATTCATCTGACCAGTTTTCTCTTAAAATCATTTCCATGATGATGATGGAACTCAATTATATTTTTTTAAATTTCGGTCACTCCTGATAAATAAAAAATTAGAAGAGATAAAAATATCTGAAATGAAAAGGCATATCAAGGTGAATGCCAAGCATGAAGTAAGTACTCAATAAATGTCATTATTATTATTATCCCAGTGCCTAAATTATTCTCTGCTGCCAAGTTGGACAGTGAGCCCTGGTAGTGCAATGGTTAAGTGCTCGACTGCTAACTGAAAGGCTGGCAGTTCAAACACACTCAGTGGCTCTGTGGGAGAAAGACCTGGCAATCTGCTTCCATTAAGATTACAGCCAAGAAGACTCTATGGGGCAGTTCTACTCTATCACATGGGATCACTGTGAGTTGGAATCAACTTGACGGCACCCAACAACAGCAACTGAGTTGGATATTCTGAGAGACTCAATGTGCTGGATATCTTCCATTTATTCCTCCAAATCTCTACCAAAGTCCACATCTCTTGTCAGGTCAGCTTTTCCATACAGCTCTCCTCTTCAGGTTCCAATAACCACTCCTCCCTTATCTCTTTAGACCTATGGGTGGTAATAACTCCCTGCTTTTGCTAGCCCCAGGATATTGCACTATTCCCTATGGATTCCCTAAGACCTCCCCACAGCTTTGTAAACAGTCCCTTTATTTAGGATCTCTTTAAATTACCCATTTATTTTATCAATCCACTAAGGGGATCTTGCTATATGAATATACTAACTTAGCTGTCCAGGCTGGGGCTCTGTGACCCTACTATAAGGCTTCAAACTGATGAGGGTCAACGACAGATATAAATTCTACCTAAGCAGCCCCTGACTGTGGAGGCCATGAAGACCTGGGCTCCTCTCTAGGGGCATCAATATGCTTATTTGGAATGATCAAAATGTTAGATCTTTTCTGAAATGTTGGCCTTATATCTTATAATTTGATTTCATGTCACTGTTGCTGCAATGTTTTCATATTCCAGAAATGAGAAAATGAAACATTGGTCTCTATATAGTCATGAAGTTGGATTGTATAAATTGTTTTTTTTAACTTTCAGACACTCCTAGTTAGAAAAAAGAATTGTATTATAGGATAAAGAAATTTCAATAAAAATTCTTGTTAAACAATGCTACATAATCTTTAAAATTTATATTTAGTTACTAAGTGTCCCTTCTTTATCCTTCAATATTCCCATTCATAGACATTTCCTCTAATTTTTTGCCACTCTCTAGAATTCACCATCACTAAATACCCGGAGAGGGCCTCTGGGAAGGAAAAGAAGTGATCGCAGTGTTTGAGGAAAGCCAGCCCCTCTGTGTAGCATCCTGTGGTATTTTATTATCCTAAAGATACAGTCACATGGCTTTACGCTGTGTTATTTCAAGGGATTGCAGGGGGACAGGAAGAGTCTGCTTTCTGAGATTTCTTGGCCCAAGATCACAGTGAACCAGTAGGTCTGAGTTAAATCTACCTCTCCTAGAAATAGACTAAACCAGCTGAAAATCTGGCTGCATCAAGGCAGCTGTGTGTGATGGGGGAGCCAGGCTGCAAGGGGTTGGCTTCTGCTAGTCCCAGAATATTGGAAGATGGATACCCAAGGGACAAAACCTCAAAGCCCAGTGCAGAACAAAAGGGCCTTGTTAAATAAGCAGGTGACTCTGGTGAAGCCAGCAGCTTCCTATATCACAGGAAGCACAAACAAAATGGGCACAATTGGTGAAAAAGGGCAAAGGTACAAAGTGCAGCAAGAGCTGGCAGGTAGTTCCTTCAGGTCAGGGCCAGCTGCGTGTGTGGTCTGCGCTGACACGGTTCTTGCTGTTCAGTGGCACTCAGGGTCACCTCAGAAAGCATACAGGAAGAAAATGCTGGGGACTTTAGATAGTTTAAAATCTAAAAAATAATTATCTAAATCCATAACTATTTAGTTCATAATCATATAAATCAAATTATGTAGTTTAAAACAGCAACAGCTATTTATACTTTTTTTCTTTTTGTTTGCTTATTTTCATTGTACTCACTTTAACTGTTCAGTTTTCTCTTTGGATAAAATACTCACTGCAGTTTGAAAGCCATTTACCAACAAAAAATTCACGAATTTCACCACCTCCGTGGCTGTGTCCAGAGAATACGTAATAAAGACTTTCCCTAAAAGAGAGATTTTCACATTTGTTAAAAACTAGTCAAATTATTTAATTCCAAGAAATCCTTCTGAAATGTGTGCAATGTCTTTCATTCTTCAAGAACAATAAAGGGAAACCTGGGGGTAGGGGGTGTTGCCTAAGAGCTCATGCTTGCAGTGGTGTAGGACATTGGATTGGATTGCTGTCCCCAGAGCATAGCTCCTCAAACCCAAAGGTGGGGGGTGGTCTGTCCAAGGGAGTGCAGACTGCTCAGGGTAAACGGAAGTAAGGGGACATACAGGAGCACTGGCAGTCTGGAAGACAAGCTGAAGAGATCTTCTGAAAAACCATCTGATGCTTTAACAAAAATCTACTACCCAGAACTTGTGGGTCCTTAGGATCAGGCCACCACCTGATTTCCTAGAGGCACTTGGCACCATGCCCAACGAATACTCTTACAGCCTGCCAAAGAAGCAGACACATGCTAGAGGAAAACTACAGGGCCACCCAGCAGTGTCCTCTTTTAATCTCATGATGCTATCTGCTGCACTGGAACTCTTGCTTGACTAGAGCAAGTGAGGGGAGAAGGAGAAAGTGGTACCTCTCCCCTTCATTCCTCCCATCCACTCTCTGGTGGGGGAAAGAACAGGAAGCTGAAGTAGTCTAAACTGCAGTTAGTGAGAACTTTAGCTACTTAAGGGAGAGAATCCACCGCTGGGCAGTCCAACATTGCTCACTCCCTCACTCTTGCCTAGGTCAGCTTAGAGCAGCAGACAAGTTTAACTCTGTCAGGATGAGAACAAATTTTTTTTGGGCGAAAGTCTTAGGGACATTATCTGGCTAGCAATTTAAAGTGGGAGAGGAATAATCTCTGTGTGTTGGTTTTTAGTTAAGAATGGACTGGCTAAATCTCAGGAAGCCCCTGAGGCAGAGAGGGTGGAGAAGAAAGGAGGTTTGGAGAGAAAATAAGAATTTGTATGTATTCAGCTATGCTCAGGCTCTCAAATAGGAGTGTGTACAATGGTCATACTGACCCATTTAAGCAGCCAGGCATATTGATGGCACTCAATTCATTTTATTCTCAATGCCTAATATTCAACCAACTCCTATATAAGTAATTTTAGGACTGCCTTTATAGATTATGGTAAGATAAATATGATCTATAGACTGATATCAGGATTATATCCCTTGCAGGGTAGCATCAGTTCTACAGAAATGCTCACAATTAAAACATACAGTATTTTTAAAAGATTTTCAGGGGGAAAAAAAAACATTTAAATGAAGAGCAATAGTGGATCATTGTCACAGAACTCTTTCAGAGTAGTAAAAGAGTAGAGCACAGATCTCCCAACAGGAATTAGCAAATGCAAAGGGCTTCGTTTCAAGGCTGGTTCAAAGAGGTGCCCAGATTTGCTAAAGGCTTAATAGAATTATCTGAGCTTCTCTAGCAAGCACAACAGAATATAAGAATTTCACAAGTAGCAGTTGTTTTCTTAAGGTTTCTGGAACTTACTGTCCTGACTGACCTTAATATGAGAACATTTTGGTGATATTTCAACATTTCTGGTTCTGGCTGCAAAATGTGGAAAAAGAATCACCACCTGACAGTTAGTCGAATGTTTCTTTAAATAAAAGGCTTAGTTTGCATTTGGTTGTGAAGCAGTATGGAGAATGTGAGACTGTTTTTTCCAAACAGTCCTTCCTACAGGAAATGGCCTCGTTTTTGATGGCTGCTGCTAATTTATGGTGAGACACTAGATCCCTAGCTAATACCACATGGTTATCCAATCAATTTATCCAGGGCTAAGTCCACTCAAAAGCATCATTTAGAAGAAGGAAAAAATGATCGGGTTGTTTGTTGTTGGAGTATGTGTCTAAGAAAGTCTAATGGTAAGCACATTGTGAGTATTACTGGTAGTTTCAGAATCACTAAAAACATTTATACAAAAATGCTAGTTACCAACATGACCAAGGCAAAGGAAGACACTGAGAGGTACGCAAGAATAAAGGGCAACTATGATAAATGCTATAACATATACAATCCTGCAGCAACAGTAGTAACAATAATTTGGGAGTGGATACATAGGCTAATATGTATGCTAAATAGGTGAAGAGGGCTGTACGGGAGTACACCCATGTACATATATAGGTATGGTTGTGGATATTTATACATACATATTTGTAAATGCTGCAGGTATGCACATATATATAATAGAGCATGTAGGGGACACAGCTATAGAAACTACTTAGACATCAGGACTGAACTACTGGACATGAAGGCTAAGGACCATAATCTTGGGCGACATCTAGGTCAGTTAGCAAAACATAGTTCATAAAGATAATGTTCTACATCCTAGCCTGGTGAGTAGCATCTAGAGTCTTAAAAGCTTGCAAGCAGCCATCTAAGAAGCAACTATTGGTCTCTTCCTGCGTGGAACAAAGGAGAATGAAGAAAACAGAAGACTCAAGGAAGCAATTAGTCCAAAGGACTAATGACTCACATGAACCACAGCCTCCTCTAACCTGAAACCAGAAGAAATAGAAGGTGCCCGGCTACCACTACCGATTGGGATCACAATAGAAAGTCTCGGGTAGAATGGGTAAAAAATGTAGAACAAAATTCAAATTAAAAAAAAAAAAAAAAGACCAAACTTACTGGTCTGAAAGAGATTGGAGGAACCCCAAGACTATTGCCCTAAGATAACCTTCTAACTTGAAACTATGAAAACCTCCAGAGGCCACCTTTCAGCCAAATAAGAGACAGGGCTATAAAATCAACAATAACATCTGTGAAGAACGTGCTCCTTAGAACAACTGACTATATGAGACCAAAAGGGCAACATTTTGCCCAAAACCAAAGATGAGAAGACAGGGAGGGACAGGGAAACCGGACTAATGGAAACAGAAACCCAGGGAGGAAATGGGGAGAGTGCTAACACATTGAGGGGATTGCAACCAAGATTATGAAACAATTTGTGTAAGAATCATTGATTGGAAAAGTAATTTGCTATATAAACTTTCACCTAAAGCACAATAAAAATGTTTTAAGAAAACGCTGGCTACTTTTTGAGCAAAGAGCAAAAACAAGAAAGTAAATTTTATTTCACTGAATATATGAGAAATATCTGAAATTATAGATGAATGATACTCAAGTACTCTCAAAGTATAAGACCTACAAGAAGATGGAGAAAACACCATTGCAAACAACTTACGCAATTCTTCTGGCAAATTGCTTGTTTTCAGAGTTCCTCTGACTGGAGGGATACTGGAGGGTCTAGGGATACCAGCTGGAGATGGAGCCTGGGGACCCTGCGGTCTCAAATCTGCAGGACGCTCCAAGGACTCCTCAAGAGCTCCAGCTCTCTTAGGTGTCTGGTTATACAATTGGTCCCTGCAAAGGAACAGGTTTAGAGTCAATTTTCATCCTTTACAAAGACAAACCTTGAAGGACAGAAAGCTTTTTAAGAAAGCTTAAAAGTGAGCTGTCTTCTCTGCCTCCACTTCATATTTGACAAAGAGGGGTGGGTGGAGCTCCATGGAGTTTCAGTGGATAAGCAGTTCAGCTGGCTGCCATATGTAAGACTCTGTGCTAGGGGTCAAAAGAAGGGAACAGGATTTGATTTCTCTATTCAAGGACTGTCTAATTGGGAAAATAAGTCTCATACACAGGACAGACAAGGTCACCAACAAAACAAGTAGTATAATGGGTGACGTACAAGGTTGGCATTATAGGCATTCAGATAATGGTAGATAACAGTTAATTATGTATCCAAAGGTACAAAAGGCCATGCAAGTTTAAAAGTATTATGTTGTTAATACATGAATGAAAACATGATTTGCAAGACCCTTTAACAAAGTTTCTACCAGTTTATTATATAGCGTCTTCATTATTACTTTGGCTGCCAGTATCTCAGGAACAGTCTGCTGAGGGGGCAAATCAGATGCACTTGTGTGAGATTTGGAAGGCAGAAGGGAAGTAGAGGTCATGCTTCTGCCCCTTCTGTGGTTTCCTTTGGTAAGCACAGTCACAAGGTGCTGAGTTTTCCTCAGGAAGCATCCCAGTGTCCTGTTACCAGCTTCATGAGTGTCAAGGGCAGGGCATATGGCATCCATTTTTTACCAGTGCAGATCTAGCAGGCTTAGGAGGGCTCTGGATCTAACACTTGTAGTGGTGGCAGCTTCCTGATTCCGGATAGTACTATGGCAGTGTAGCCTAGGGCCAAGTGGTGGCTTTCTGGTCCTCCACCTTCCTGATTGAGGTAGAAGAGGCAGTTTCTTTGGTTGTCCTGTTCTGTGGTGTTGCTTTCGGATCATTCCTAGAAGCCCAGCCCAAAGTTCGCCCCTCCAACCACCAACAACTTTGTAAGCACCTAATTCCCTACCTTAAATCCCCTTCTGCTTGAAATAGGTATGGTTGTTCCTGTTTTCTGTAGCTGAATTCTAACTGGATAGGGGGACTAAAACTGTATCTGTAATGTTTTATTTCTTTAAAAAAAATTCTGAAGCAAATGCAGCAATGTTAATGTTTTAAAAATCTAGGTAGTGGGAACATGGATATTTGATACTTTTTGTGTGAAGTTGTTTCATATTATAAATTTTAAAATATGTTTTGATCTAAGAGGGATCCAGTTCCATTTCCTTTTCACATTAAATCCCTTTATACTTAAAGTTTCTTAGTTGTCATAAAAGACGATTGCTCATTTGATAAAGAAATATCAAGGTCCTGATAATATGAAAAACTTCCACATAAAAGCAACATTATAGGTATTAATGACAGAGTAGGCTTTCTGGATTAAATTTTTCTTTCAAATAATCAGTAAAAGGAGAATTATCTTCATCACCTGAACTTATTTTTCATTATCCTAAAGTGCTGAAATAAATCCAAGGAGAACCTAACCGGCTTGAATTGATATTACAAAACCAATTACTCTGTATTATCTTTGCAACTCTTCTATAAATCTAAAATTATTTCAAAATAAGCTTATTTTTTTAAAAAAAGGACTATTGCCTCCCCTGTTCAATACCAAACTTATTTCATAAAGATGCTTAAATTTTCTTTGTTTTCTTGGAATTTTAGATATTTTTACTGCAAGAGTATTTATCCTGCTATAAAATCCACTTTATTTAATTCCATTTTAAAGGACATACATTTTTGTTTTTTAAAAAAATAAAGGATCTGTCTGGGAAAGAAGATCTGAATGATACTTGTAATCTTCTGAGTAGAGGGGAGAGGAGGCATATGCTTTATCTGCCATTGTTAATAAGGTGGATTTTTTTTCTTTCACTAAAATTTTTTTTAGCTAATTACGACTTTCTGTATTTCTAAAAGATCCACATTAATAGGACCTTCATAACTCATCTCTTTCTATAAGAACAACATAGTTTTAATTTGAGTGGGATATAAATGTTGTGCTTAAGCAAAAACAAACATTTCATCTATTCTCTTTCCAATTTGTCATAAATCGGGAAGGCCCTCTTACATAAATTTTTCCTGTCTATTTTAGATCCATAAACTAAGAGAAAAGGAAAATTTGAAGAAGAGTCAAAAGAGAACAATGAGGAGAAAAATATTAAAGGGTTAGAGAAATGAAGTCATGAAAAACCAGAAATGCGTTTCTGTAAGAAGGCATAGGAGAGTGACTTAATAATGGTGCTCAACACGTCTGAATGTTTTTATTACAAAAGAAAATAACAGGCTATTTTTAATTTCCATTGAAAATTAATTAAATTAAAAAATTTTAAGTAAGAAATGAGTTTACACAGCAACAGAAACTAGTGGATGGATATAAATAACTTCCTCACAGTGGAAGGCAGCCATAGTAAAAATAAAAATCAATTTCATGAGCTAAAAGGCCAAGTGATCTGAAAGTAAAAGAAGGAGGTGTGACTTAGAGAGCATTGTAAGAGTCTTTCCTTCAAGAGAGTTTTGACTAGTCACTAATGGCTTTATATATCCTGCTAAAGAGATTCTTGTCAACCAGCCCCAATTTCCTCCTGACCTGAAGAGTCTGTATTGGGCGTTCCACTGTGTGACTTGTTAACTAGCTTAGGCAGGAACCCTAAGAGTTCTGAGACATCTTGGTTGCACAGGCATAATTCTTTTTCATATTAAAAGTATCTAGGTGGACAGACTTTTCCAGGTGCTCGAACTGCGGTGGGTCGGCGAGAGTGAGATGGAGGTGGGCGCGGAAGCTGTAGTTGGAGAGGACGGTCTCCGGGAGCGGCGAGGCTTGAGCGAGGCTGGGAGGCAGGAGCAGAACCGAGATATGCAGCCTCAGTCCGGGTCAAACATGATTCCAAAACACTCCTACTGGTTAGATGTCTGGCTCTTCATCCTCTTCGACCTGGTGGTGTTTTTCTTCGTGTATTTTATGCCCTGACTGGTTTGCCTGATATCTAAATTAAGAAGTTGGCTTCTGGAGTGGCTTCTGAAAATGACTACAAACTTCTTGAATAAAGAAGACAGGCAAGATTGTGCAGCAGTAGAATTTCAGACTCCTAAGGGACTTTCTTTTCATTTTACACATTCTGTTATCATTTCGGGACTGTATTAAATGGGGAGTGATCTCACTCATTTATAACTAAATTCTTAAAACTAGACCTTTTTGTTCATGTTTAAAAACTTTTCAAACATCTGATGGCTTTACAGGGGCTAAATGTAAAAGTATTTGTACTTAAGGGTTTAGTGTATTCATCAGTAAATATAGTCATTCTTTTAATATTTAATATTTTAAGAATTGGTCAAGGTTTAATAGGCTGCAAATAATATGGTAAAATAAAAATATGGTGAAGTATTTATAAATTCAAAAGTAAATACTCAAAAGCAAGGAAAGGAGTTTGAGAGAAGGAACAAAGTGTTCTTAAAATGCATTAGGAGATTACAAATAACAAAAAGCTTTACAGAAAATGCTGGCCCACAATGTATTGGCTATAAGTGCCAGTTTAATTTTTAGATTTAAGGAGGACTGGGTTATAAAAAGATGTGTTACGGTTGATGGATACAAACTTATAGAAAGTAGATAATACCCAGTATTGGAAAGCTAGCTTGTGTGTTCTTTTACCTGGAGGCCTCTTCTTTCTTCTTTTCAAACCATTAAGTTTCCTAAAATAAGAATGTGTTTCAGAACTATTTTTTCTTATTGTGGTTATTTTAAAGATGCTTGTGACCAAAGCCTGATTTTTATGTCTGTAACTTACTTAAATACTTCAGCAGGTGCAGTGTGATATTTCCCCATTCAGTAGATATTTGAGCGCTTACTATGTATGGGCCAGGGAGTGTTTTAGGGACAACAGTGAACAAAACATAAAAATCCTTGCTTTCATGGAGTTTCCATTTTAGAGGTTTTTTTTTGTTAAAAATCTAATTTATCTAAGTACATGTTAGTTAATGAGAATTTACATTCCAGGGATGCTCAGCTAGCATTTAATCAAAAAGGCCACACTTCAAAAGCAGCTAATCTAAGGACTTCAGAACGATTTCTGGTAGTCCTAGGGGCTATCAGAAATGGGCTCTCATTGATGAAATTAGTGACATTTGATATATGTGAATTGGCTGGAGTATTTTGGGGATTTTCTCCCATATCGACAAGGTGTAAGGTCCAGTAAGCTCTACATCATATACCTTTTTCAGATGCTTAGGGCTAAAGTCAAGTCCAAGATTGATTTTGGAGGATTCTAATTGCCTAATGCTGACTATAAGGTTAACAATTACAGCTTCAAGGTATTGTTGCATCTGCCTAAAGAGAACCCTTTATGCAAGGTATGAAGTATCTAGACCACGGAACTGGGATTTGATTGAGCTTACCAAGCAGGTTGTACAGTCTTTTGTGTTCTGCTTGCTAAAAATGATGTTAATAAATGTTTACTTGTATAGCTGAAAAAAAAAAAAAAGTATCTAAAAATATCTGAAAGTTGGCCCTGCCATACTTAACTGATACCTCGGGGGCCCTGGGGAGGAGTAGTCCCTTTGTGCTGGCCTCTCTTCTTGGTCCCGAGGGCTGGGATAATTCAGGATGACCTTCTGCACAGGATGAAGGCCTCTCATGGTGGCTCCAGGTAGGGGCTGCCCAGGTACAGCCGGCTGGATCACTTGCTGGTAGGCTGCTCGAGGGTAGTCGTGGCCATCTGCAGATGAAGACAATAAAGAGAACAGGGAAGATCAACCCTAGATGTTTTTTTGTGAAAGGGGAGGTAAGCTGAGTACAAATTTTTGTCTTGATACCAACTGAAGTTTCCAGATATCAGTTACCACCTCCATGATGTTTGCCATATTTCTGCACTATCATTTACTTGATTTTCCAATGGAGTCGATTCTGGCTCATGGTAACCCCACTTTTTTTCCCTAAATAAGAACACATGTAAAATTATGAGTTTGGTGTTCTAATTGGAAAGCTCAAAGTATAACTTAACACAGCCCCCTATTTTAATAAGATACTTAGGATAATCTAACCAGGAAGACCCTTTCTCAAACCACCATTCCTACCCTAATTCTCCAGGTTTCTAGAACTCAAGGCTAGGAGAAATTAGATATAAACTTACTATTCTCTCTTTTCCTGCCCCAAGTGGACACACCCACAGACACAGACACACACACACACTCACACATATACCACTCCCTCTTCAGAAGAAGTAAATAAATGAAAACTTGGCTTACCCTTCCGGAAAGCAGCCAGCCAATTCTAATGAACCAGTTGCTATACCCACCAGCAACTTCCTTGGTCCTCTCCTGCTCAACTCTATATGAACTTGAGGCCAGATAAGTTAGAAGAGGCCAGGTCTTAGAGCAAAGCCAGGGCTAGTGGTGACTTATGTGAACGTGTAAACTGGGAGGCACTTGATCCCAGTCAGGCCTAGGAGGAGCAGAGTCTAAAGTGAAGAAGGGGAGCCTGCCTGACCAGGTGAGAGAAGAGAACTGAAGGACAGAGGAGGGCGAGAGACGAAGGCCTTGAGGGAGCTGCCCATGCCTGAAAGGGCTAAAGTGTTGGGAAATCTTAGTGATAAGGGTGGGGATCCCTTTTCAGGGTGGGTCCAGCTTAGAATGGGACTAGAAAGAGCCAAGTGGGTAATCACTCTCCCTATAAAGTGAACCATGAGTACCTCCTGGTGATTCAAGCACTGCCATCTCTGCCCAGGTAAGAAGTAGGGTGATCTAGGCAGCATGAACGGTTAGGGCGGGAAGGAACCTTCACCAAAGTTGTTTTTTTTTTTTCAAAAAAAAAAAAAAAAGAAAAAATTGGTCTTTTAAATCTTTTTTCTGATTATAAAATAATATTCTCAGTTTGGTAAAAAATCAGGAGCCAATGAAGCTTTCAGGGGAACGGGGGAATTAATGATGGCCTCAGGTATAGAACAGAAGACAAGCAATGGGCACGTTTACTAGTGTGGCTACCTCCAGGTTTCCACTGTTGAGAATCAGGAAACTTGGCTGGGTGGTTCCAGAAATGTGCCCAACCTTGTCTCTCAAGCCTGGTCAGAGTCCCTGGATTCAATCTATTGACTGCTTTGACCTCTGACACCAGCCAGGTCTTTCCTGTCATGCTTCCCCTGGTAACAGTGACCATGCCCCTCCAACCCAGGTTGTCTTCTGGCCCTGACTCAAGACCTTGCCCTGCAGTTACTTAGGCATGGTCATGATGGATATTAGGGGCATGAGGAAGAGAAAGAGAAGAAAAGGATCTGCCTGGGTCTATCCCAGCCCCTGCTCTAGGGCAGCTCTGGGAAACGGAGATACAGAAACAACTATGGTCCAGGACAAAATATACCACACAGATTTTTTCTTTTACAGCCTTCTTAGGCTGATATCCAGGGGGTCCAGATTGCCAATTGGAGTTTCAGGACAACAGAGCGGGTCACTACTACTGCTCTGTCTTCCCAGCTGCCATCAGGTCACCAGGCAGGGACCAGCCCTTCTTTTACATGAGCTTTGCATGAGTGCAACATTTACAACCCTTAGCTCTAGATACAACCCTCCAGAGATTTCTCACAGCACTTAAAATCCACCCTGTATGATTGCATGATCAGACCTTTGCCTTCCTTGTTTTTTTAAATTTTGCTGACAGTATGCTCATACACCATTTCAACAATTTCTACGCTTACAACTAACTCAGTGATATTGATTACATTCTTCAAGTTGTGCAAACATTCTTGCTATCCTTCTCCAAATTGTTCTACCACCACTGACTTAAACTCATTGCCCCCCTAAGCTTCTCATCTAACGTTTTGAGTTGCTGTTGTCTATTTGATCTCACATAAATAATTCTTTAAAAGAGCACAATGCTCAAGGCAGACATACTTTACTTACTAAGATAAACTTCTTTTTTTTTTTTGGTTCAAAGAAGATTTCAGGGGATAGTTTTTGTCCCCTGCCCTTCTTGATCTCACCTCCTTCTATGCTCTCACTAGCTCACTACACCCAGCTACCCCGGCCGTTTTCTTTATCTTCAACACCCCAATCTGCCCCCACATCAGGGATGCTAAACTTGCCACCCCCTCTGCTCAGGATGTTTTTGCCCTAGATCTTTACATACCAACTTCTTGTCATTCAGGTCTCATCTCAAATATCACCTTTTCAAAGAGGTCTACCCCATCACCCAGTTAATTTATCCCATTCCCCTATTTTACTTTCTTCATAGCACTTACATGTTTGTATAAGTAAGTATGACACTTGCTTATTTATCAACTTATTGTCTGCCTTCCCTATAAAAGTATAAGTTCTGTGAAAATAGGACCTTGTCTGTTTGTTACCATGTCTCCAGCACAGGGCTGGCACATAGTAGATGCTCAATAAATATTTAATGAATGAATGAAGGTTGAATAGTCACAAAGCCTATTGAACACACATAGAAAAAGAGAAGTCATTTAGAATTGCACAATCTGCTAGCTAGTTTCTGGGTCTTCTAGGCTGTCTACTTCTCATCTGCTGTCCATTTGGGTTTTTATCATCATCTCCTTCCAGAAAGGAGAAAGGAGAAAGACAAGGTAAAAGAAGAGAAACTTTGCCAGTGGCCTTGAAAAGCTTTTACAAGAAAGGGACTGAATTAACTCAAGTGAAGCTTTTAATGCTTAGAGCCATTTTTGCTTTCCATACGCATTAATGAGTAGCTAATAATGTTTTATTTGCTTTAAAAAGACTACCAAGCTCTAATCATAGGGTTTGTTTTTTTTTTCCAGAAAGCAGATATTAGTGCTGTTAATCAAAAGCCTTTGAATCAAGGTCATATGATTTTTAACATTATTTCTCACACAACATGTTTTTGTCTCATAGCAACAAATCATATCATTAAAATCGCTAAGGCATGTGGCTAAGTGTTTGATTAGCTGCAACTTTCATTTCTGAGATAGCCACCTGTGTTAAAAAGTTACACTGGTTTATGTGAACATGAAAATGATTTTTAAAATTAGGGTACTGACAATATAGTCCTCTATCCTGTCCTTTGATCGTTTAAAATAAAGACAGTATTGAATATCAGACCATCACTCAAAATACTCTTTTGATAAATAAAAGTTATATTTTTCAAGTAAATAAAAATCTTTTCCGTGCTCAAGGTTTAATTGTTCCTTTCCACTATTATGACAAGGGTTTGCTAGTTTAGTTGGGCAATACATGTATACATGATGACTAACATTTACTGAGCACTTGCTTCATGCCAAGTAATAAGTTCCTTATTCAGGATTATAGAGTTCAATATTCTGTTTTCCTAAAGAAGCTTAGTGCTGGTGGTTCAATGGTAGACTTCTCGCCTTCCAGGTGGGAGCCCCTGGCCCAATCCTTGGACAATGAACTTCATGAGCAGCCACCACCTGTCTGTCAGTGGAGGCTTACAAGTTACTATGATGCTGAACAGGTTTCAGGAAAGACTAAGACAGACTAGGAACAAAGGTCTGTTGATCTACTTCTGATAAGGGTCACAGGGTCACCATGAGTTGGGGGCAGACTCAATGGCAGCTAACAACAACAAAAAAGAAGTTTAACTTTGCTGGTAAGAATAAAAAATTCCTTACCATAGACAGTGCAGCCTTTGTTTTCATAGCATATCACTCCTTGCTCATCCTGCTCTTTCCCTGCTGGCTTGTTTTTGGTACCTCAACTACACCTAGCTCCTTGCTTCCTTGACCTTCTCACTTGTTCTGCAATTACTCTGGGATGCTTGCCACCTGTTTGTCACATGACTGGCTCCTTCTCATCCTTTAGGTTTCAGCTCAAGTGTCAACTTCTCAAAGAGGCTTTCTCTGGTCACTCTATTAATGTCCATTTCAACACCTGGTTATTTCCTCCATAGTGTTTATAATGTCTCATTTTGACTGCTGATTTTGACTTATTTGTCTCCCTGCTAGACTGTGAACTCCATGAAGACAAGGACCATATGTGTTGCATTCACCACTGTACACCCAGTGCCTAGCACAGGAGTTGGCAAATATTTGTTGAATAAATTGATAAATGAATGAAAAGGTTATGCTTCCAAATTCCATTACCCTCCTTCGTTCCCTTCTCTTCTCTGTAAAACAATTGTTGTTTGGGGCCATCAACTTAATTTCAACAATTAGTGACCCCATGTGATAGTCTGGAATTGCTCCGTAGAGTTTTCTAGGCTGTAATCTTTATGAAAAGATCGCCAGGTCTTTCTCTCAAGGTTAGCAACCGAGTGATTAACTGTTGCACCACCAGGGCTTCTTGTAAGACAATTAGAGATGGCCTTTCCAGGGCTTGGCATTGCAGAGGTTCTACCCATGATTGCAGATCACTCCTTTCCTTAGTAAGTAGAAAGGATTTTTTTTTTCATTCATTCAACAAATATTTATTGAACCTCTAGAGCTAGGCACTTAGTGAACAAAGATAACTAGGATACAGTTCCCTTGAGCAGCTCAAAATAAAGGCAGAAAGAGAGAGAGAGAAAATCTGTGTCTGTGGGTGTCTGTTTTTAAACACAAACCCACACTAGTTAGTGTGAGAAGGAGAGGCATACAAGTCAGCAGCCACCTACATGGTAAACTTAAGAATCACTCAGTAAAAATATCTTCCCCCACTGGCTTGTCCCCAGTGCCTAAAATTCCATCAAAGGGTTTTATTCTGTAGGAGATGTAGAATGGAAGGTGGGTGATGTGATAGACAACTGAATTGTTAGCAT